AAAGGAGAATGCTTGGGTGGAGTGAAGTGCTAATCCTACGGCCTGATCTTAGAGCTCAAACTCAGAGCAGCAGGCCCTACAAGTGATGGGGAAACCCCTCCAGCTCAGGAAGGATCAACCAGGAAAGATAAAAATAAGTATCCCAAGGGAATGAAAATGAGTGTCCCAAAGGTGAGAGTGGGAACCCCAGCATGGGTCATCAGATGAAGGGAACAAAGATTAACAGAAGAAAGTCTGAAAGGAAACATGGCAAAAAGGGTCAAGAACCCCAATCCCCAACCTGCACCTGAGCCAAATACAGAATCCAGCCTGTAAATTCAGAACTGTAGTACGCTGCTCTCCCACTTGAAAATTAAAATGAGGGAGATTACAAAACAGACCTGAATATTCTGTGCTTTTTCCTAGTCTCTCTCTACTCTAGATCATTTCTAAGCCAAACAAACCTCTATCCAGACAAGACAAAATAAAACTCACCATCTCCTGGGGAAATAAAGCCTCCAAGGGCTGTCAGAACTACAGGAAAAAACTGACAAACTGGTCACTGTCACAGGCAACTTCAACACACTCTAGTTTTTCATAGGTCATGTAGACCAGACGAATAAAAATAAAAACAAAATGATGAACAGGCATGATTTAATGAACACAACAGAACATTATATTCAATTATTAGAAAATATTCTCAAGCATATGTGGGACATATAGAAAAACAATACACACACTGGGAAATAATGAAATTACACTGAACTTCAAAGAATATATATCATATTGTTCCCAATCTGACCATAATGTAATTAAGTTAAAAAAAAAATGAAAGATAAATTTTTAAAATACAAATAGAAAATAATAACTTTTCTAAATATTTCACAAGTCAGAAGAAAACATACTAGAATTTTATCTAAAAATATTGAGAAATGAATAATAAAAATACTACATATAAAAATTCGTGGAATACGGTAAAAGTTATATTTAGAGACAACTCTATAGCCTTAAAGATTTATCCTAGGAAAAGAAGGCTGAAAATTGATGAGTTAATAGGCTAACCTGTTAAGTTAGAAAGATAATAAATAACAGTAAACCCAAAGAAAGTAGGAGATAATAAAGAACAGAAACGCATGAAGTAGAAAAAAAGGTAACAGGACTAACGAAGTCAGAGCTCTTAGAAAACACTCAAACAAATAAACACCCGGCAAGACTGATGAAGGGTAAGTAAAATAAAACAACATAAAGAGCCTCAGAA